AAGATCTCAAGCTCAGTTTGCAGAGGAGCAACCCTGCAGTGATTCCCGGGCAGCCCTCCACTCAGTCCTGCCTCCATCTCTCTCCTCCTGGGGCTGGCACTGATTTTTTAACTCATTCAGCAGATCTGCCCTTTCCCCCTCAAGGGAACAGGACTATCAGTGTTCCTCCCAAACAAGCTTACTGCCCAGATCTCAGGAAAACACCAGCCGGAACGATCCTTTTTCCTCAAGCCTACGTGCTAGCAAAGCTTTAATGGAGGGACAGAGAGCATGAGTTTAGCCCCTCTGACCTCTTCTCCTTCCTGGAAGGGTTTAACCCGCCGGTTCCCGCCCCGCAAAGATGTGGTTGTGCGTCTCCCCTCCCCAAACCCGCCCCCCCCATACCCCCCCCCCCCCCACTCACACGTCCATGCTCCCGTCCTGCCGGCCGGAGCTCCGGAGCGGCGGTCAGCAAGAAGCCCGGCGGCCGCTCAAGTAGAGGGGGAGCGGGGGGGGGGGGGGGGTGTGTGGGGGGGGGGTGTGGAAGTGGGGAGAGGCGGAGGGAGGGAAGAGAAAGCCCGGCTGCAAAAAGCCGGGGCCCGGAGCCCGGCTCCCCCCCCGCCTGGCGCCTGCTGCCCTCTGCTGCCGAGCCGCCCGGCCCCACGGACACGCGGGACCCAGGCGCCGCGGGGTCCTCCGGGGAGGGGGCTGTCACAGCCCCACGGAGCCGATTGGGCTCTTTTGGGCGAGAAGGCAGGGGGAAAAGATTGCTGGAGACGCTGCTTAGGGGGGCTGAGCTGCAAGCCCTCCTAAAGATGCCCCCCCTAGGAAGCCACCCCCCACTCTTGCTGGGCAGTTTTCTGGTGTAAGGGAGGCGACCAGAAATTTTAGTCTTAACAAATGAATTTACACGGTTAAAAAAAAAAAAAAAAAATCAAACTATCAAAAAAGTCGAGTTTTCTCTGTTCTGGCTTGCTGAAGAGCACTTCAGAGGCTTTTTGGGATGGGAACTGGGACCTTCTTCGGGGAAGGCAAGAAATCTCAGATACCTGAGTTGAATAGATATTAAGAAAAACGAACAAACCTATAGAATTAAAAGCATTCCGAGAACAAGACCCTTCTGAAGGATCCTTCTTGCTGTTTCTTCTGCAAGCATTTTTAGGAGAAACAAGATAGATCGACAAGGCCTTCGGTATTTAATGGAGAAATGAGAAAATATAGCAACTTACAAACACATTTCAGGCTTTTCTCAGTGTAGGGCCCAAGACATATTGTGTGTTGCCAAGTTTGTGAGGTTTAAAATTTCTTGGCTTTCAGACTTTGGTGTAAGAGGTAAAACCCCGTTTTAGTGGTTTCCCTTAGAATTATGGGTGGCTTCAGGGAAACTAGCACATTCCTTGCATTGAAATCATAGGAAATAATTCACAGCTACAAAACATGTTGAAGATGAAAATAGCATTTAAAAGAATGAAGAAAGCATCTTTGGGATATTTATGGAAGCGTACTAGCAAACCTGCTCATCAAACATCTTTGAATTATTATGTGAAAAAGATCACATAAACATGTAATTAGTGGCTCTGGAATAATACCATATGGCCCCACACATCAGAATTGAGATTAAGTGGGGGGCATTATTACCCCAGTACTTCCTGATGTCCAAATATCTCCCCTGCATGACAAACATACTTGGGCAGGCTGTGCCAGATCACGTTCTGCTGGCTTACTGTCCCACCAGGCAGGAAGCTTTTACTCAGAGACCACATCTGGAAAGTAGCTGGCAAGCACTGGAAACTACTCTCCGAGAGATCTGTTACTAACATGTTACCAGTGGGAAGGGTGTTCCCTGGCAAAGCATGGGTAGACAAAGGTGACTGAGGATCATTTGTAAGGAAGCTGATCGTTTCAGTGTGCTCTTGACAAGGAATATTCTGTCCAGGGGGCACTCCTGGCAGCTCCCCGTGGCACTTCCAAGGCACTTCTCCCATGTCTTCATTTCCTCCCTCCGACCCGATAACACCACCTGGTCTACTAGGAGAGTACTTCAGCTGGTAAAGCAAGAGTGGTTAGCTGGGGATAGGCCTAACTGGAGCAGCCCACATCTGATACATGTCCCACAGACCCATCTGATTTGACAACACAGCTGTGCGCTCAGTCCGGCTCCAGTGCTCCCACTGGTGGCCTTCCCCTTCAGATGCTCCGGGCAATCCTCTTAGGTTAGGTAAGAGCCAGGAAATACCTGGTACCGTTTTTATCTGGGGAGGATGTCTGCACCTTCCTTTGCTTAAGGGCAGAATACATGTAGGACCGCAGAACGCTCTTTGCTGCCTGCTTGACTTAGCTGGGTTACAAGAGGACTGGACAATAAATCCAGACAGTATCAGAGCAAAGCAAAGAAACTGTAGATCTTCAGCATGGTTAAAGGTGTCAACATCCTCACGTGGAGAGAGACTCCTGCTTTCAATACAGTGTGTTACAGGAGGTCACTGGAAAGAAACCTGCTCTGCAGCCTCAGAAGCCATGAGATCACCCTCCGATGTGCAGAGACTCTCATCCGCTGAGAAGGAGGCAATGAGTTGGATACTTTATCCTCAAACCTGAAGTAAGGAGGACAGAAAAATACCTCTGTTGGGCCTCCTATAGCTACACCACCTACCCTCCAGTACCCCAGGGTCTCGGACCCAGGCTCACCTGTGAACACTGAGCTGCTTTCCCAGGGCACTCCACCTTCCGTCCTTTGGTTTGACTACCCATCGCAGCCTTTTGGGGACATTCCACTACTAGCCACAGGGCTTGGGCTTCACACATCCAGACCTGTGCTATCCAGTGGCTTACCATTTTTTTCAGACAAATCATGCCGCTCCTTGCAGCTCTAGCTGATATGGGGAAGATGACCTACACCAAAAGAAGGCTCAGGACTCTAAGAGTGGGTCTTCCCCCTGGTATGAGATGGTGAGCAGAAGCAGCAGCATCTTGGTACTCTTGTTCTGTGTCTTGTAAATCAAGGACCAAAGCCAAACGTAATAGCCTAGGAGGGATGTAGCTCTGCAGCATTAGTCACTCAGCAAGGGGCAAGAAAAAAGACAGTGTCCTCCCAGTATCACATCTTATCCCTTGCCTTATGCTAGCATCCTCACCTCCCACAAGCTCATGTCTCAGCGATATAATACTGCTGTGCAAAGTCACCATCTGACTTAGGCATCGCACCTATAGCATGATTACAAAAGAAAAAGCAGTGAGTTATTAGTGCTGGTAGTTACTAACCAAAGCCCTGCAACAGGTTGGAATACTACCCCTTTTGATTATTGACTGTGGACCACAAGTGGATATGATTCCTAGCTGTGGTTCTGGCACAATGGGGTGTTTCCTGAAGACAAGAGGCTGTCATGGATATATGATGGCTGGCAACTAGCCAGAAGCAATCCACTCAGCATATCACCTCACAGGCTTACGTGGCAATTACGTGGGTGGTTGGCATGCCAGCGGAAGAGTCCAGCTAACCACCCGAAGGCAATAGCTGTCTACCATCAAACCAGAATGTAAGATCAGAAAAGGAAAGTTCACACCAGCTTTTGGTGCAGGGCCTGAAATGAGTTGATCGGTTGTTGATCACACAGTCTGGAAGGTACCGGTCTGGAGGTGGTGAGGTAAGCTTGGTGCTGGGGACCACAAGCAGCTCAGAAGGGCTCTCACCGTATGCGGGAATATGAAGAGGGCAACAGTTGAACCAGCTTCAGCTGCTGTCACTCAAAGCTCTGCCTTTTGCAACCTTGTGATACAAGGTGGAGGCTCCTTACGACGGAAGGACGTTTGCATAGAGCTCGTTGGGTTTGCTTGTGTCCCACCCAGTGGTACTCTTTGCCCTGTGGATACTGACAGGGTACCACAGGCTGGGACATCCTCAGAGACGACCTTGAAGAACCGGAGGTCAACATTATAGGTACAGCTGCAGCTCCCTGACCCCTATGCTTATCACGTGTCCCAAAGCAATGCTTTTCTCACAGCACTCATCTTTGCAGTTCCTTAGAAAGAAGCTCTTTGGAAAAGACTACTTTTTAAAGGAGCTTCTGGAAGAAAAAATTGCATTTTCTCAGCTTGAAAAGGGCCTGTATTTTCAAAATCTGCCTACCTCTTGTTCTCTGTGATGCTAGTAGGTACACATTTCTGTGTACCCTGCCCTTCAACTTCTTGTCGGGGGCAACCACAAGTGTCCTTCAGAAATAACTGCTGGTGGGCTTGCGCACGCCCCATCAGATGTCTTCATTAAAGGACACCTGCATCTTTGGCACTGCTCTGGCTTTTCAGGGGACCTCACCTCCTTTGGTTCTGTCCCTTGGTCTCCGACTGTAGAGGGAAGTTGTGAACCAGGGGAGCTGTGGTGGCCATGGGGAGATGCTGCCAGGAATGCCAGGAGGAGCGCTGTGGCTGGAGGCAGCGGCCGTGGTTTCTTACACCAGGAGGAGAGCCTGAGCCTTCCTCACCCTTTGAACCTTCTCGGAAGTGCAGTGAACATGGGGCTAGCTCCCTTGCCCCAGCCCTTTGGATTTCACATCATTACATGAAAACCCGTGACTCTGAAGGACAAGTTCTGTTTTCCCGCCCATCCCGCTCGAGGATCCCGAGAAGCTTATGGCATCCCCAGCGCACGGCAGAAGCCGGCCGAGCGTCGGCAGCTGCAGCAGAAGGGGCAGCCTCAGCCACCCTTGCCCACTCGGGCATCAGCTCCTGCTTCGCGGGGGGAAGCCGCGGGGCAGCGCGGGGTTTGCCCTCGCCGGAGGAACGCGTGAACCGCACCGGCCCGGCCGTGGGGGCAACCCTCGCCCCGCTCCTCCCCCTTCCCTGCTCTTATTCTGAAAGGAACCCCCGTGCAGCCGGCGGCCCATCGCCCTCCCCGCCCCGGCCCGGCCCGGCCGCCTCCTTTCCCCGCCTCCCGCTCCCCGCCGGGGGCTCCGGGGCCCGGCCAGGCACCGCCCAGACCGCTGCTGGGCGACAGGCTGGGTAAAAGAAAACACGCTGCTACGAGGTGGAAGGGGTAGTGGGGGGTGCTCTCGGCTCCCTCGGGTCTTGTTTGGTTTTCAATTCGGGGCAGTTTGCGCTCGGGAGGGAGGGTCTCGTCCGGGCATCCGTCCGACGGACGGACGTCTCACTTCACTTTCTGGAAAACCTGGACACAGACTTCATCTTCGGCAGTCATGCGCTGGGGAAAGGGAGACAAAAGAGGAGTTTAGGTTGGATCCCCTACTTCTCTCCCTCTCCAGCTGCTGCTGCAGCAGCCCCGCCTGCCCTCCTGGTGCTGGTTTGAGTCTCCCAGTCCCCATGGTGCTGCAAACCCTTCCCGATCCTCCCAAAGCCTCAGCTGGTCAGGCTTCAGGGCAGGGAAGGGCCATTGCCGTGGTTGAGCTGTGTTAACTTTTAAACCCTGGAGGCGGATGTTTGTGTGAAATGGTGACTGACCCTGAGGAGCTGGCGCCGAAGTCCCGAGAGGAGCTGGAAGGAAGCTTGCACAGCTGGCTCCGAGCCTGCAGCACCCGCACTCTGTGTGTGTGTGTGTGTCCCAGCCCACTGCAATTGGGATTTAGAATGCTGCACTGGACCCCTCCTCACCAGATGCAGCCGGTCCCCCTCCAGCCAGTGCCTCCAGCCTCGGTTCCTCTTCTCTCCTAGCTGCTCACACACCAGCTGATCCCCCTCCCAGAAGACGGTTGTCTGAAAAAAAAAAAGCAGGAGAGGGGAAGACATGGTCCCAAGACAAGTGGGTCCTGGCAATACATGTTTCCAGCAACTGACCGCTCCTCTCAAGATACATTTTCAAACGCAGTCCCTGATCTGGTGTCTCTGGTGCCTCCTTGGGACTGATGTTCTTTATGGGAGGTGAATGACCCTCAGGCTTGCAAGTGCAAGAGAGTACTGTCAAGCAGGCTGACTTTCTGTCTTTTCAGGGCTTTGCTCCAGAGGATAGTACCCTCTCGGGGCCCCAAAGCACTGGGTTTCTGGCTGTTTGTTGCTCAGCCCCTTTGCTGCGAGTGATTTACTCATAGAACCACTTATCCCTTTGCTGGGAGTGATTTACTCACAGAACCACTTATTCCTGGACCTGTAAGGGCATGCCAGCCCCGGTCTGGGCTCTCATGTGGGTCATGAATCAAAAGCTGAGCAAGTCCTTGAACTTCTAGTGTACCCCAGTCTGCTGTCAAACTGCACTGCGAGAGCTTCTCACCTGGCACTTGCGTCCGTCCACGGGACCTAGGTCTTCCTCAAACTGGACTCCCAAGTCAAAATCCATAACATAGTCCCGCAGGGAGGTGATCGTGCGGATGACCATGTGATCTCCCGTGTGGATGATCTCTTTATCAGGCTTCAGGAGGCAAACCAGTTTTCGCAGGACCACATTGATATCTAGAGCGGATCAGAGGGAGAGGAGATCAGGGCACCTCCTCTAGCACCATCCCTGCAGAGCTCCTCTGCTCTTTTAGGGAGGGAGCCCCAGCCACGATACCTCCTCCCCCCTCCCACCACAGCACAAAAGGGATGGTCGCAGACAGAATGACCAGAGGATTCCCAAACCCTTTACCTCCTTTCCCCGATTTCTGGATACAGACGGGAGCGAAAGGGGAGGAAGGAGCGGGATGAGGAGGGTGGGGTTACCTAAAGCGCGCAGGTAATTGTCCATGTTCTCCTGGGAGACGAAGCTGTAGTAGCCGGTGAGGTTGGGAGGCATCGCGGGGCAGAGGGACGTGGCCGACGGCGCGGAGGAGGGAGGGCAGGGAGCGGGAGAGGCACGGAGCTCCCTCGCCGGGCGGGCCGGTTCCCCTCTGGCAGGGGGGCGAGGTCCGCGGGGGGCAGGCCGGCTCCCGGGCTACCCGCCGCGGTAAGAGTCACGGAGCTGGGGATGGGGGGCGCGGAAAAGGCAGGGACTGCCCCTGCTTCCAGCATCTCCGCCTCGGCCGGGGAGGACGCGAGGGCGGCAGGTCACCTCCTCACCCCTCCGCCCTTCTCGGGGGCCGCTTGTGTTCAAACTCTCGGCTGAGCAACCAGCGGCATTACCTTCCACGCACCCCCCCCCCCCCACACACACACCCCCCACACACACCCCCCACCGGCCCTTTCTCACACCACGACGCCGGTGGCGGCGAACTTCCCCCACAGCAGTGCCCTGGCCCGGCTAAACCATCGAGAAGACGCGGTGGCCGGGCTGGCAGCTCCGCCCCTGGGCCAGCCCGGGGCGGGTGGGCGGCGGGCTCCCGGATGCCCGGCACACCCCCCCCCCCCGGCTCTTCACAGCCCCCTCTCCCCGCGGGGACGCTTCTCGGGGCGAAGGGCCGGGCGCCGATTTTGAAGTGTGTGTGTGTGTGTGCCCCCCCTCCCCCCCCCCCCGCCTCTCTTTCTTCACGCCCTGCCCGGGTTGCAGTGAGCAGGCAAACAGCTCCCGCGCGCGCCCCCCCCCACCCCCCCCCCCCTCAGCAGCACCTGGCGCGACGGCCCCTTCGCATTGGCTGCCGGCCCCCGCCGAGCCCGTGACGTCATGCTGCAGTGGCGGGGCGGGGCCGGGTGTGGAGCGCAGCCGGGCTGGTGGAGGTGCCGCGCCGACCCCGCGCGCCGCTGCGGGAGTGAGGGCGTGGGCTGGGCCGGGCCGGGCCGGGCTGGGCCGGGCCGGGCCGCGCCCGCCGCTGTCCGCTACCCCCCCCGGGCGGGCTCGGACCTGCCGCCACCATGGGCGACCCTCGGCCCCGCGCCGCCGTCCTCCTCCCTCTCCTCTGCCTCTGCGCCGCGCTGTCCGGCGGCGCCTGCAACAAAGGTGAGCGGCGGGAGCGCTCCGCCGAGACCCTCCGGTCGCCCCCCGCGGCGGGGCTGAGGGACGCGGGGGGGGGGCAGCGGGGCGCGGTGGCCGGCGGCTCGTCCCTCCGCCCCCGCGCTGCCTGTCGCCTTGGTCCGGCACGTTTTTACCGGAGGATCTCCGCGGTCCCCGCCGGCTTCGGCTCCCTTTGCCCCTTCGGACGCCCCCGTACCATCACCTCTACTTTCTCCATCTGTCTCCTGCCACGGCGTTTTTCTCCATCCTTTCTTCTCCTCGCATCCCCCTCGCGTTTTCCCCTTTTCCACCTGCTTGTTTTGCTTTTGTTTCAGTTATCCCTGGGTGTATTTAGCTCTCCTTCCCTTCCTTAGTGTGCTGAGAGAGAATGTGTCGCTTCTCCGTTGATCCCTGTGGTCTCCAAAACACATTCCCCATCTCCGTCTTCCAATTTTTGTTCATCCATCTATGGTCTGTCAATAGAAATTATTGTACACTTATGTCTTAACTATGCGGGTTGCTTATATAAAACAGTATTTTATGTGCTAAATATGTAAAAAAAAAAAAAAAAAAAAAACAAAAACCTAACACTACAGCTGTAACGTTCTGAATGCAGATGTTCTTTGAACACGTAGAGCAATGGAGAAAGATGTAGGTTTCTAGATCTGTGGCCGTAGGGATACGTGTGAGAAACTCGTCTGAGGGGAGTCAGTGTATCATTAACCTGACAAGGTGGCTGAATCCGAAAACATACGAGAGACTCGGGGGTCATCAGGGAATGTGACACTTTAGGGTGCTTTCTGTGCTTTGGAGGAGGTGGGGCTACAGGGTGGGTGCAGCGCTGAGCTCTGTGCATGCTGACATTGGCAGGGGCATTTATTTGTACTGCTCTGGTGCGAAGGGGCCCAGTGGTTGAGGCAAGGCCCCTTACGCGCTGGATTTTCTGTCTTTGTGAATTTACCCTCTGAAACATCTACCCATTTCTGGCAAATTATTTTAGATTTGCAGGAGCTTTCGCGAAGCTGGTAGGAGTCTCTATCCTAAAAATATTCCCCAAATGTTTTTCTAATCCCCAGGAATTAATTTCCCGAGAAATCAGATCGATCATTCCGAAGTTGCAGGTGGATGCAGCAAAGGATTTAACTCTCTACCGCCAGCTTGTTACCCCAGCAACAAGGCACATTTGGCATTTGTAGCTATGGATTCCCACCTTGGTGGTGTGGTGCATGGACCAGAGCCGTCACAGAGTGGAATCTGGTGGGGGCAATTGGAGGGGTGGGGTGAAACGTGGGCACTTGCACCCAGGGAGGATTCCACCTGCGTACCGAGCAGGGTGGATGTGTCTCTGGATTTCCTGTACAATGCTTGATAATCACTACAGTGAGGGAGAAATGCCAACCCAACACGCTTCGCTGCTACGCCAGGCTGGGTCTGCCCGCTCTGCCCTGCTCTGACCAGTTGCCCTGTCTGCTGGCCCACCACCCAGCTCCAGCAGCATCCCCTGGCCCCAATTTATAGAAGTGCTTGGCTGTAAGGGGGTGCTGTCCCTTTTGGGTCAACGTAGCACGGCCACGGTTTCAGAGGGTACCGTGCTGCAGAGGATTGATTTAGATATTGGAAGCAGTGCCCTTGAGGGGAAAGGCTCTGTATCCTGCTCCCCACCAGCTCTGAGCCACGCTGTGCTCAAAGTACTGTTTGGGTGTAATAAATCATGGTCTCCAGGGGGTGGGAGAATGGGGGATTGTCTGTGAATGGGGGGTTGTAACTAGGCCATGTAATATAATCTCTGAGGACTGTTTGGCAGGGAGTGGGCATGGGGGAGGGGTTTTTAATTTGTAATGATTTTTCTTCTCCCTTTCCCTCCCCCCCCCCCCCCCTTTATTTCTCCCTGCCCCTGCCCTGGAGCCTCTGTGATAAAGATTAATTTGCTATTTCTGGGCCTGTGACATTTTTCAGAGCCTCCTGCTGGCTGCTGCCTCCATGCCAACCTTGGCTGGGCTCCAGCCAATGGGATTAGCAAGGAGGGGCCAAGGGAATATGGTGCTCACCATGGACTGGGGAAGGAAGGAGAAAGGGACTCTCGGAGTAGGTTATTATATGCATATGATGACTGACTGAAAGCGTACCTGGGGATGTGTGTGTGGATCCTGGGCGTTAGTCCAGAGGATGTGAGGGCATAAGTGATAATGTCTGCATGCAAGACTTGTCCCCTGGGGACACCCTAAGGGAAGATGTATCCTGGATCCTTTAATTATGGCTTCAGTGATCTAAAGGATTTGGCATTTGGAATCTGTCTCCAGAATCGGGCTACTTCTGCCTCTTAATTCTATTTTTTGCAGCTGCTCCAGCTTTCCTAGGCACCCAGATGCCTTTCCACATATTTCTAGTAAGACAGTAATGAGGAGGCCAGAAGGAACACATTGTTTCTGAAGAGGTCTCCCAAGAGCCGTGTAGAGTAAAACTAAAGAAAGATAACTTCTTCCTCTCAGCCTATTTTAGACTTCTTTACTTCCAGAGAAGAAGGCGGGGAGGGGCGATTGTTACCTGCCACTGGATGGTATTCTGCTCTTTTCCTACTGAATCTGTCATTGGTGGCTAATACATTCCTGTGCTCTATCCCTTACCCCAAAACCATCTCAGCAAACAAGCACAAACCCTGGATTGAAGCTGAGTATCAGGGCATTGTCATGGAGAATGACAACACAGTCCTGCTCAACCCACCGCTGTTTGCACTGGACAAAGATGCTCCACTGCGCTATGCAGGTAGGTGGGTAACAGCTCTGGGAAGGGTGGGAGACAGGGAGAGACTTACGAAGAGGCAGAGACAAGGTGACATTCATCCCTGCGCGGGATTCTGGCTCTCTCCGGGAAATGATCACCTCCAAACCTTGTTTTGGGAGGAGGTCCTCAGTGAAGTCTGGAGGCAATTTGGACTCGGCTTGATTTAGGATGCTGTGAGCTGTTTCCCTGAGGGAGAGAAAGTGAGGGTGGAGCCAGGTACTTTTTGACGCAGTTCTGCTATTTCCAAAGATCACATGCACAGCTCTGTGTCTGTGAGCACTGGAGAAAGATGGCAGGGCTCATTTTGTTGGCAGTGTTACATCCCCTCACAGTTAGCATGAATCCCTGAAACTACAGATGAGGCTTTACAAGGCTTGTACTCCTGCTGCTTGCTTAGGCTGTGCCCGGAGCTTCCTCACCCATCCTCCCTCAGCTTTGGGAGAGGAAAAGTGGTTCCTGTGAGCTGAACTTTAGGATTTAGGTGACCCTATCCGCAGTTCCCTGCGGTACTGTGCACATCCTGTGTGTGGGGGTGGATGAGACATCCTGAATCTTCATGCTTTGGCTGTCTATCTCTCTAGGGCCTGTTTTGCCTTCCTGAGAGATGCAGAGGAGAATTAAGGTGCTCCCTCAGTACTGTGGCTGTGTAGCACTAACCAATCCAGCTGGAGCCTTGTAACCTCTAATCTTTCTTGAGGCTGGTCAAGACTCCTTGCCGTGGGAGTAGTCTCCAGTAAATGGCAATCTACACCATTAATGGCTATAAGAGGTGGCACGAGGAACAACTAGGGAACCAAAAATTGCTTGAAATGAGGGGTGATAATGAGGGAGAAAGGAGAGTGGAAGTTAGAAAGGAAGAAAATATGGGAGAGGGAAGCAAGGAGGCATAATGCGCTCTCCTCAGACCTTTTTTTTTTTTTCTTCCCCTTCCTCTCTGCATTTGTGGGTACCAGGTGAAATCTGTGGCTTCAGGATCCATGGGGCAGGGGTACCTTTTGAAGCTGTGATCCTGGACAAAGCTACAGGTGAGGGGCTGATTCGGGCCAAGGAACCAGTGGATTGTGAAGCACATAAAGAGCACACATTCACCATCCAGGCTTATGACTGTGGAGAGGGACCTGATGGAGCAAACACCAAGAAATCACACAAGTAAGTCCATGCGGTCGTTGTTTCACGTTACAAAATGCGATCTGACACAGAAACACAAATGAAAAATGCTGTGGGAAAGCTTCCTCTAGCCAGAAGTATTCTTCTTTAGCCTTGATAATATAACTCAACATGTTAATAAGACCCAAAGAGAAATGTTCACTGACTGAGTCACATGAGTGAACACACTAGAAACGAGGGCTGCTTGACAGTTGTTTCTAAGGATGGTGTTTTACGTTGCTGCATTCAGGCAGGGGGTCCGGGTTACATTATCATTCCTCTTGCTCTCTCTCTGGGGTGGGAAACCACTGTCCAAGCTCCTGTCTCCCAACACTGCTGCGTTGA